AAGAAATTTCAAAAATCTTAGGCATTAACTTTTGCGCAACACTACACACACATATATATATATATATATATATATATATATAAGAAAAAAAATTATAACATAAGTATGTTATAAAATCACTACAAAAATAGCCATTTTGTTTCAACACACTGTGTCTTATCAAGCCTTGAAAAGAGTGTGTTGAAACAAAATGGCTATTTTGTAGTGATTTTATAACATACTTATGTTATAATTTTTTTTTTTTAAAAAATAATTATATCTGCTCTACTTTGTATTGAGCACTCTTAAGAATAGTAATTGTTGGTTATTGGAATTCATTCCGTATATACCAATTATATACTTGGGGATATATATATATATATATATATATATATATATATATATATATAAGGGGTGAGTGTGAGGTCGTGGACAAAGGAAAAGGAGAATAAAATATATTGAATATATTGAGAAAGATTGATTTTGATATGAATTACTGCCTTATCTATTGCAATTCCATTTCCTCCGAACTAGTGTTTCGTGATTGTTAGTTTAATGACCAAGAAAACAAACAATTGTGTTTGGTTCGATTAAAGAAACTGACCTCAACTAAGTACTTATTTCCGAACTGTTTCCATTTGCTTTCAGATTTCGCATTATCTAGTTATATTTTGGTGGCAATGGCACAAGCTTTGTTTTGAAATCAATTACAAATTCGCAGGAGATAAAAGGAAGTCTATGCACTGGTAGTATGTATTCTTTTAGTAATTGGTTTATCACCTTTCATTTCAGTACAGAGCACCTTACATTCTAAAGGATTTATCGATATTAACTTCATATTCTCATTATTCCTTTCTACCGATCTATTGCTATTCTTGAATTAATATATGCTGTGTTATATATATATATATATATATATATATATATAAAATGTGTGTGTGTGAAAGACGACTGAGATATTAATGTAAAAGATATAGGGCTAACTAACTTTTAGTGCCTCTGCATAGATAATATATTCGAAAAGATAATTTTACATGGTGATATGTACTTATTGACATTTTACGGAAAATGTTCACTTTTTAATGTTTGCTCTGAAATTGCTATTCATTAATAATTCAAGGGAACTGGCTATATATTCTTGTTGTATAAAATATTTTGTACAAATTACCTTCAGACTTATTGATGCAACAACGGGCCAAGTACTCATCTACTTACAGGCACACAGTGAAAATACAGATGACATAAAACAAATAGATAATGTGGCTAGGAGACTCAACCGAAATTTTCCAAAAGTACCTCTAATTTTTATATTTTTTGCTTATTAGGCTGGTGGAGGTTTGTTATTGTATTTACGTTAGATTATCTCATTTTACTCAATTCTACTTTGTAAAACACTGATGTTTTTACACTATTTTTACAACTTATACAGGACTGAAAGGCGTACAGGGAGGAATTAAAATGTGCATATCATAAGGATATGTAGGATAGATATCGGTTTACTCTAGACAAAGAGGTTAAGATCGCAGTGATCGGTGAAGCTATCTGTCGGTGTGTAACTTACTGCTTACGAATGAGAACAAAGGGAATCAGGATGAATCTAGTTCGGCTCCTTCCATGCCATGTATACTATCTGTGAAGGACTGGGCTGTTAAAAACAGCTCAGCCCTTCACATATTAATTCTTCATCAGCTCCAAAACTTGTATCGGATGGACTGGGAAGATTGGAGGCGAATATTCTCTGCTTCCCTTTAGTTTGGAACTGCGTCAGACAAAATTTGATTTTTTTTTGTACAGTAATGTTCGTTCTTTTCCAGTGAACTTACTCTTGAATTAAAAACTGCGTTATGGCGTTCATTTAACTTAAACCTTGTTCATAGCTTACTAATATCACAACGTTGCTTACATTTTCTGAGAGAAAACAATACATGGACAACAAACAAGGATACGTGTTAAAACTATTGTAAGCTTTTTAATCACAACCTGTATGCAACCATAGGCATTATTTTTTTTTTTTTTTTACTATTGCAAAAACATTGTCTATAGTTAAATATATCTACATATATGTCTATTCCGGTTTGTATATATATATGTCTATATAAGGTAAAAGAAAAACGGTAAAGCAGAAGTGACTAGGTATTATGACAAGGCAATGAAAGAATATTTTTCAAATTGTTAGCTTCAGTTATTGGAATGAAAAGTTTTATTAAATAAGTGAAATCGTAAATATAGTAGCTACTATATAAAAGTACAAGGATTTATTTATGAATATACAGATACTTTTAGTCATATTTCATACAAATACTACTACAAAAACGAACGGGGGAGGAACATGATGACCTAGGTATCAATTAGGGTTTCGAGGCTAAATCGTAACAAATGACCCAAATTAAACCAGAAATATATGTATATAAGATTAGACACACACATATTTGTATGTATCTGTAACTATGCGAACAATTTTCCGCTGCCTTATGTATCTTTATATTTAATAAAAAGCGGTTGATTGCATAAATTGATGTATATGTTGTTATGTATTAATATATACATGCAAGTAACGGCATATCAAATATATCTTGTATATTATACAGAGATAGATATCTGGTAGAGTGATTATAAGATTTAAATGCACACACGTTTGTGTGTGTCTACAATGACAATACACATTCAATCAATCGTAATAAATACTTGTGCGTGATTTTCACGAATGCTTTTAATGTTTTGAACAAAAACAGCAACAACAAAATCTACTTCATGACTAATGGATTTAACTAAGCAATCGTTGTCACGAAAATGTTTGCAACCCGCCAAGAGGAAGAAATTCGCTTCCTGACAGTTATTTCTTTTGTTAGATTTCCAAAATAAATGTCTCCGGATTTTAGATATTGCCACTTTTTTATCGTATTTTTAAGTCAGTTGGAAAATCATTTGCCTCTTTCAATTTAAAAAAAAAAAAAAAAAAAATGGAAGTTATCCGATATGAGAAAACAAAGTTTGCAGTAAATCTGATTTAGAGACATGGTACAAAAATTTGAGGTTCAGCGGGTGGTCGAGGTAGCGTGGTGAATTTTTTTTTTTTTTATCAACTAAACATATAACACGCAAATACCTCAGCTTTTACAATGACTTTGAATAAGATGTATGAAGAAAATAGATCGTTCCTTCTGCATTACATTGATAATGCTGATATGAGAAACCACTCTTTAGAGTTACAGTTTCATGTCTCAGGCGATCTCCCCATCATGTGTCACTACTCCTTTAGCGGGTTCTGTATATAGGGCACTAGTAGACAAGGAGAGTTCATCTGCTTGGGTTTTTGGGTTTTTTTTCTTCTTTATGTTTATGTCCTCGTTATCATTTATTTTATTAAAATATTTTATTATTATTTATTATTTTATTCATTTTTATATTTCATTTATTTGTTTTGATATTTTCTTTAATTCTAAATATGTCATTTAAAATAGATTTTATTAGATTTAGGTTATGGGATTTTATTTAATCCTGTGGGCCATGATGCGCGTATAGGTCGTGTAGTAATTTGTTTTCGATTCTACATTCGGAAATGAACAGTGATCTTTTATGAGTATTGTTCTAGAAGGGTGATTATAGTTATTTTTTTCGTCTAGGCAAAATGACATTCGTTTGATAATATAATTGAAAGGTGTTGTTTTTATTATCTATTTTCTAATTCGATTACCTACTACTATAGTGATATATTATTATAAGTTTATATATAATAGAAATTTATAATTTATATGTACACACACACACATATATATATATATATATATATATATATATATGAAATTATATATTTAAATTTATAATACAATATTTCGCATATATATATATAAATTTAACTTTATAATATGTTGCATATATATATATATAAATAAATTTAACTTTATAATATAATATGTTGCATATATATATATATATATATATATAAAATAAATTTAACTTTATAATATAATATGTTGCATATATATATATATATATATATATATATATATATATATATATATATCTCATTTACATATGTATATAATGGAAGATAGATGTCAGAAAAAAGCTTCACGGGGTCTTCAACAGATTTACTATACCATAACTTGCTGTCCAAATACCTTTAGGAGATACGTGCATAAAGGAGAGAAGATTAAATTTGTTCTATTGCTGACAATTTCTGAAAATATTTTTAGACCTAATAACTCAAAAAAAATTCTATACGCACTACAATACATGAATAGGAACGAGGTTTTACATAGTAAAATAAACAAAAACAAACCTCGCGTCAAATTTAATTTCACGTTCAAAAGAGATATGATCGAATATCCATAAAATTACAAGATCTTAGTTTAGTAGTTTCAGAAGTCAAGGGCTAAAAAAAGATAACCGATAATCATCCAAACTCATCTATGCGAAAAGTTATCAAAATAACAATGAAAAAAAAAACTGAATTTATTGTAGAGCAATGGTTACGAATACTCCAAACGGAAATCCCGATGTAAACTATTATGGATGAATATATATAAGCATAGAAATAATATGAATGATTATAATTGTGGAATCAAAATAGGTTACAGTAAATGTCTCGTTCGGTAACAGATTTGCTTGCTAGTTGTATGTTCTTAGCCAGTTGCGCATGACCCCAAATGACTACAGCAATGTGCAATTGTTAGTGATCAGTAGTAGTTGAGGATCATCATGGCCAGGTGTGGAGAGTGTTGTTTCTTCTAAGTTTGAAGAATGATGCATAAAATGTGACTTGAATGTAAAATTAAATATTAGGGAAGACTAAACTGGAGACCCCCTGAGAGAACTGGGTTACTCAACATTAAAGTATTTCTAATTGGATTCAATCTGCAAGTTCTTGCATTGATTTTATCAAAAGCTGTCACCAAATCGCTCACATTTGACTGATGCATGTGCTTGGCATACTCTTATCAGAGTGGGTAACATGATGGGTATATTGAGCTTAGACTATTTGTAAGCTAGTGACTCGTTTTGGCATGCTGCTCTCTCATTCAGTGACAGAGATAAAAGGAACGTGAAGAAAGAAACGTTGAGGGGGGAAAATAAAAGGAAATGCGAGGGGGGGGAGAGAGAAAAAGGAAAACACGGGGGGAGAGAAAAGGAAAACGCGGGGGAGAGAGAAAAGGAAAACGCGGGGAGAGAGAAAAGGAAAACGCGGGGGGGAGAGAAAAGGAAAACGCGGGGGGGGAGGGAGAGAAAAGGAGAACGCGGGGGGGGAGAGAAAGAGAACGCGGGGGGAGGAAAAAGGAGAACGGGGGGGAGAGAGAAAAGGAAAACGCGGGGGGGAGAGAGAAAAGGAAAACGCGGGGGGAGAGAGAAAAGGAAACGCGGGGGGAGAGAGAAAAGGAAAACGCGGGGGGAGAGAGAGAAAAGGAAACGCGGGGGGAGAGAGAGAGAGAAAAAAGGAAAAAACGGGGGGAGAGAGAGAAAAAGAAAACGCGGGGGGAGAGAGAGAAAAGGAAAACGGGGGGGGAGAGAGAGAAAGGAAAAGGGGAGAGAGAGAGAAAAGGAAAACGGGGGAGAGAGAGAAAAGGAAAACGCGGGGGGGAGAAAGGAGAACGCGGGGGGGAGAAAAGGAGAACGCGGGGGGGAGAAAAGGAGAACGCGGGGGGAGAAAAGGAGAACGCGGGGGGAGAAAAGGAGAACGCGGGGGGAGAGAAAAGGAGAACGCGGGGGGAGAGAAAAGGAGAACGCGGGGGGAGAAAAAGGAGAACGCGGGGGAGAGAGAGAGAAAAGGAGAACGCGGGGGAGAGAGAGAGAAAAGGAGAACGCGGGGGGAGAGATAGAAAAGGAGAACGCGGGGGGAGAGAAAAGGAGAACGCGGGGGGGAGAGAAAAGGAGAACGCGGGGGGGAGAAAAGGAGAACGCGGGGGAGAGAAAAAAGAGAACGCGGGGGAGAGAAAAAGGAGAACGCGGGGGAGAGGAAAAATACTGAGAAAAAGAAAAAAAATTGTTTAAGACAAATATGAAACAAGGAGTCGTTAAGAATATTTATAGACAATCAGTTGAATTATGAATTGATGCATGACCTGAGTGAACTTAATGAAATTGTATATGCCTCGCACAAATTATGGAATCAAAATGCATTTCAAGTAAAAAAAAAAAAAAAAAAATGTCTACGTGAATAAAAAGCCAAAATGGAAGAGAATTCAAAAAGAAAAGCAAAACAAATTCATAGGAGGAGAAATATCAACACCGGACGAATATAGAGAATGTATGAAAATACTATCACCAGAACAACAACCAAAACACATGAAAAGTGCAAACCAAAACAGCAATGAAAATGTCATCTCTTAAAAGAAAGATGAAAACAAAGTACAGGTAAACTTTCAAAGAAATAAAAAGGTATGAAATGAAAATAAAATACTTCAAGTAAAATCAAATCTTCTAGTCAGATGCAAAAGTAATTTCTGAGAAATAAAATTAAAAAAAAATTAAAATGGAATGAAGGCTGAAGAATTTTTTTCTGAAAATCTAAGTGATATTTACAAACATTCACATTGGATTGAGAAGGAAAAAAAACACAAAGAATTTCAAAAACAACATTGGCAAGATATTAATATTTCTAAATTGAAAGATTAACCGAAAAAATTCACAAACGTAGAAACTTGCTAATGTTGATAAGGTGCCCAATTTTTGGCTTCTTCCTTTTAAATGCACCCATACTTTAGTGAGTTTTAATGAAATACTGATCTCCTCTGAAAAAAAAAAATTCAGCTGACTGACTTGCAAAAAGTCATAATATACATTATGTCTAAAACAAAATATACAACTACGTACAATCTAATGGCTCAATTATTTATAAAATCATAACATCAATATCATTAGAAAACAAAAAACAAAAAAACACTCATGTGCAGAATAACAGTTTGTTTCAAATAGAAAACAATATTGGAGGGATCATCACTGGTAAACAATGTGAGTTTCGAAATTTGTAATGATAAACGTAAGAACCTTTGTATTGCTTGGATAAACTATAAGACTATAAGCGCATTTGAGAGTATCTCCCATTCACGCACAATATATGTGATTGAAGCTTATAAGATCTCCAATATTTATTTGTTTTTAGATATAACATCAAGGTGAGACCGATCTTTGGTTCCCCATTCACCTGGTATTTATACCATGAAAAATTATTAATGTATATTATCGTACATTCCAATGTATTATCTGCTATTCCTTCATGCATTTAATTTATTCCAATAGCCATTAAACTAAAAAGAAATAGACATGTATACAATAGAGGAAGTCTTATGTGGGTGACATTAAATTTTACAGTAAAGATGATCAAGTGGAATGACTTGAGGACTCCTGAAATCTTCAGTGAAGATATCGTTTTAGATTTTAGTTCGGCCAAATGTGTGAAAGCCATATTCAAAAGAGGCCGTTTGTTGAAATCTCAAACTTCTTTTCTTTCTATGTGCCGTGTCCTTTCAGGGAGTAGGCGATCATGGCTCACCACCACCCTCTATCCTTTTCAGCTCTCATCAAAGTTCTTACCTCTGCCACCTTCCCCAGATCACGTTCTCTCATCCAACTGCCGCCAGGTATGTAATACGTTGTTTTCCCTTGCCTCTCTTTCCCTCTATTCGACCCGTGATTCTCCAAGCCGTCTTTCCTCATTATGTGTCCCAGTAATCTCAGCTGCCTCTTCTTGATGTTAAATATAAGTTCCCTCCTTGTTTGCATCCTCTCTAAAACCTCATCGTAGCTCACACGCTTGGTCCATGATATCCTTAGCATCCTTCTGTAGAACCACATCTCCGTCGCCTCGAGTCTCCTCTTCATCTTTGAGTAAATCGGTATGGACATAGAAACCATGATAAAATATATGAAATAAGAAATAGACATATTTTGGGGTCAGTGGAGCAAATGTGAAGGGAATTGTTTAAAAATGTATTTTAGAAAATATAGGTTCGCAATGAAAACGATCGCCATTCAAATAAAATAACATCTATAAACTAATTCATAATAGCCATTTTTATTTTTAAAATTAGCATAATTATTAGCAATCAGACCAATAGCCATATGTAGTTGCTATCACAGCGTTTAGGGCGCTGTGCCACCCTACTACTTTTTTCCTGTATCTCTCGACTCGGTTAAAATTAAAGGAATTTCGAACTGAACTATTTAATGTACGTAGGTAGATCATTCTTGATCCGCAGTCTATGGTAGTGCTCATTTATCCTTCAGAGACAGGAAAACCAGAGTGTACTGCGGCTGAGACGTTGCGTTAACAAAAATAAGGACATTAGTTAAATAATGGTAAGTCTTCGACTCAGACAGGAGGTAAATAATGGAAGGTCTTCGTCGAAGAAATGCAGAGTGAATTGTGAAGAAAAGGAAAGTGGAAGAGAGAAGGGGTTACTTACGGACGGGTTGCTTCAGCCTCGGGGGAATTGTGTCCAGCTAAACTGGAACCAAATGACCAACTGATATTTATGGTCTTGGTCGGAGGAGGATTGTGGGAAGCTGTTAGCCTCCTTATAAAAATCATCCTCTGTACTCTCACGAGACCTATTTTCTCTATCTGCCGACGCGTGACTGGTTAATTGTAGTGCTGAAGGATTACTTCTTTTTCTTCTGTTACTAGACCTAGTTGGAGCGGGTCGCAAGAGGAGGACTCCTTTTGCAACCCTTACCAGACTGTCGCTGCTCTCTTCTGGGTTTTCCCCCACTTTTACTGTGTCGAAAGTTTTTTTTTTACCATAACGGAAATTTAAATGTATTTTAAAGAAAGGATACCAAAAATTAAGAAAAAAAGTTTATTTGCTACGAAATACGCCATCCGAATGCAAAAGTTAATCGATTGTATTTAGATATAAAGTATGGTGACATGAAATGGCATAATTTAAATTGACATTGAAAAGAATTGGAACTGAATAAGACCACTGAAAAACTGGATGCTAAATTTGTTTACAATTATGAAAACGTTACATTCAATTAGGAATGAAATAAAAACGGCCGCAGAAAATTTTAATATAAACTTAGATGGTAGAAAATAAACAAAATAGTGAAAGGTTAAGCAACTTGCAAAAAGAAAATCTCTTAACTTGAAAATTGGAAACTGAATTCTCTGCATAGACAATGCTCTCTTCAAATCAAAGTTTTTAATGTATCCAAAAAGTAGATTCATTGGTGGTATCGGAGCTGTGGTCTAAAATAGAAACACATGGATTTCGCCGCACCAGATCAAATCTTATCCACTGGTAATTTCCAAATATTTTGAAAAGGGGCACTGGGTTAAAATGTCGGTTTTGTAACTTATGTGAAAACAATAGTTTCTAGTTGCCCTGTTGTGATTAAAACAACAAACTGAAGCATGCTAAAATAGGTTAATACCTACACTGGAACGTTGTTTTTTTTTGTTTTTTTTAGCAACACATCAAAAATGAATAAAGGATCTGGCAAGCAAGAAACTGAAGAGGCAAATGTCACAGCGTTATGGAAATTTTCTTGTAAAAATCTATTGAAGCCAATAAATCAGATAGCAATGATCAAAAAGGGCAACTATATAGTGAGTGAAGTGAGTACAGCAATTTCACCTTGGATTAAAAAAAACAAAAAAAAAAAAACAAGCATGATATACTAAGAAAAGTGACCAGGAGGAAACTGCGAAAATGACCGATTTGAAAATGCAAACCATTTGCAAAGACACAAGCCATAAGCATTTCGATAGAATAAGTTAAATTCTGTACGACTTGGGAAAATAAACGAATCACCAAATCAAGATGAGACGATCATTTCCAGTTCTAGTAAGAAACAAGAGTAATGTCAAATAACGGACAATGCTTTTTTTGAGAAAACCACAAACTAAAATAGATCAATTATTGAACAGATTAATTTCTAGACTCACAGAACTGAAAGCATTGTACCCTGTTTCCATCCACCATTATCGGCTCGCTTGGATCAGCGCTTATTGCTTATATCTTCCATAGTGAAGCGTATGCTGCAACACTGAGGTGGTTTTGTCTAATATTCGAAATGTATTTGTCCGTGGTCTAAATCATACTCTTTAAATTGAATTTCAATTAAAATTGCAAGGGTAAGATACTTCAGTCTGCTAATGGCGCAGATAATATACACTCACATCGAAGGATAAGATCAATATTTACTTGCATCTCTACTCCAAGCGTTTTTTTTCTTCTGTTTTTCAATGATTTTGTACTTCGTAGAATAAAAAAAATCCCAGAAATCACTAATATTTTTCTGTTTAAAAAAAAATCAATTTCCTTGAGGTTTTAAAACAAGGGATCAGAATAAAATGTAATAAATTTCTAAACGTAGCAAATATCTGGAATTCAGTGAGAATTTTAAAATAGGTTAACAAAACTATCGGCAGCCCATGGAATTCGGATAGGGAGTATTTGCAAGTAAATTTTTATGCACATCACTAATCAATATTAGAATTCAAGTATCGAAGAAAATAAAAAAAAACATTAAACTACATAAAAAGTATCAGAAGGTATATGGATTAAACTGTTTAGTGAGTGCTGCACAAGTAACACGAAAACGTCTATCTGAATATACACCAAACTTTTTTTTTCATTTCCAACACAAAATTAAACGTAATCATCGAAACTTCTTTAGCTACCACCATGAACATTTTAAAATAATGAAAAACGCATTTTAAATAATTTAAATATTTTCTTTGAAATTGAATGTTAGTTTAATTTGAAAGATAATAGACTAAAACTAATCTGTAAAAAATGGAAAATAAATTTTCCCTATGCGAATACAATTAAAACATTAGGACAGTCACTCATCAAATCTCCATTACAGACAACTTTAAATCTCTTCAAATCCAGCATTCATTTTTTCAGATTTAGTTCGAAGAAATCATGATTCGAGGAATTACTCAATTGGACTTTTGTAGAATTAATGCTTATTTTTTGCTTGAGACGGTGGAAATAAGGTTTATTTACACACAGTATCCAGTAAAAAACTGCTGTCAAGTTGTCTTCTATCATATCTCTCTTTCAAAAAGTATGAGATAAATTATTTTATACATAGAGGACAGACAATATAGCAACCAAGAAAATAGTATTGCTAATATTAATAACTTTAACTTATAAATAACCAGTCGTTTATTATTTTTATTGCATACACTATTTTGTAACTTACAAAGTTATTTTAGGTCACATTAGATGTATAAAAATAAACGATGCTTTTGAGTTTAAATAATCTTTTTTTCTTACCTGTTTGATGCCACAATAAATAATTTTACCCAATGAGATATTTTTAATTATTCTGATTTTAAAATATATTAAACTAAAGGAAGTGCTACAAAAAAATTAAAAAAAAAAGAAATATTCATAATGACATTGAAAAGTTTTAAAAACCAAAAGAAAATTATTTTAAAAGTTTTCCACCAAAAATGGCATTTTAGTTTACTTTTTCAGAGGTTTCAAACTTATCTGTGTATCTAATATAATAAAAACTTGTTACGAAGAGCAAAGAAATTAATTTCAACATTGTACTGAAAATTACATGTAAAATAAAAAAAAAAAAAGATATAAATTTTTTTCTATCAAATCTGAAAGAGAATGTGTTTTAGTAAATTATACAAGCAACAATTCTTTTTTTTTAGGGCTTAGAACGGATTTTCAGTATGTTCACAATAAATATTGTATAATCTTTACAGAAATAAAAATCATAAGAGATTTTTCTTTACACAAGAAGAAATGCAAGCATCCCCCCACATTTAAAAGTACACAGGATATATGGAAAATAGGGGCATGAAACTGACGCTAGAAACAATTTTCTAAAAATAAGTCTGTAATAAAATAACATTCAATATGTAATTCATCCATTAATGAATAATTGTTGAAGATTGTGTTTAAATTGGAACAATTCTTTTATTTCTGGCAATTTTTAAAAAAAAACAGTGTGTTATGAATTGTTATTTTCTTTCATTTCGGGGATGGTTGTGAAGCTAATCCTTTAATCATTAAAAACAATCAATAAACATTGTTACTTCAATTTATTTCCTACATGAACGTTAATATTAGGCGCAAAATACCTTAAATTAAATTTTTATATACCTAATACGAAATTTAACGAGTACATAAGGAAAACAACAGAAAAAAACAAAAGAGCAAACAACTTACCCACTGATCATGGTGGAAATATTTATTTGTAATAAATTACAAAATGTGGAAGAAGGCCAAAAAGGGGGAATTAGGAAAAAGACCGTCTTCTTCTGTCTTAACGTTAAACTTAGCTAGTCACAAACACTGATTAGATTAGAAAAGTTGGTGGGAAAACTTCATCGACATTAAATAGTCAGCGGGGACGCAATAAATGTAAAACCCATTTTCATTGGCTAAAATAAAAAAAAATAATTCAACCAGTGTTCAGGCCAAATTTACTGGATTGAACTGCAAAGGGGCACCTCGAGGCAAAGTAATGGTCAGCAAGCTCGTCTTGCTCGAACTATTACGACTGAGTAGTGAGTTCAATTCTCACTGGGTGCCCCATAATTTCGGCCTTGTATCACATCTAAGCTACGCTTGAAAAATCGATATTTAGTATGTAATCATTGGGGATTTTTTAACTTTTTGTTTTTTATTCCCCTCTTCACCACAGACAACGATTTGTACATATGGGGACTAGTTAGGAAATTCATTGAGACAATGAGGTATTTTGGTGGATGTAGTAAGAAATTTAAGTATGAATGTGTTGTTTTGGTGGTAGGAATATTGTTTTGGATGATTGTGTCTGTGGTTGTGTCTAGCTAAGTTTTAAAATTAAGACAGATGGGGACCGCCCTTTCCCCCCCTCTTTTTTTAGGCCTTGTGCCACATTTTCTGTATCTTTTTACAGAAGTAAATATTGGATTGAACTGCAAAGCAAATGATCACCCCCCCGAACTTGGAGTTCCTTTAAGGACTCCGCTTAATGCACTTCAAGATAATAACTCTTGTATGGACTAAAACTTAACACCAAAGAAATAATAAACTACAAACCTTTGCGTTAGAATTAACTCCGAGCTTCAATGTACTTACCTCGATCATCTACCTAGTAAATGAAAACGTCAACACATAACATGACCATAGGGTTTAACCGATATATATATATATATATATATATATATATATATATATATATATATATATATATATATATATATATATATATATATATAATATATATATATATATATATATATATATATGATAACGAACAGTATTGGGAAAAACGTATTTCACATTTCGTTTTTCTCGTTTGTGCGCATGTGTAGTCATATCAAAGTAACAAAGAAATCTTAAAGTCCGAAGAAATCCTAAAGAACGTAACGCTTTCTCATACATTTTTCCCGAATACATATCTATGCATATATTGTTATATAGTCACCCGCATATTTATATGCGACAAAAATATTACTAGAATTGTAAAATTTAATAGAGAAACCTACACAGTTGAATTTAACAAAAATTAAAGTGCAATACAAATGCAGACGGATGTGCACTCGTGTTTTATAAATTGTGCAAAAGT